ATAAATACATTCTGAAGAAAAAATGCGGAGCTAAATAAAAGTCATTCAACACAAAACTGCTGTAAAACAATGCCAAGTGTTCTCACAGTGAACGAAACATTTATCCGCTTCACTGCTTCGTGCCAGAGAACTTCACTTCCCAGAGTGCTTTGCTGCGTGACGTCAACCACGGTTGCATAGTTTTGCTAACCATCGTCGTTTGACCGTGTATTCCTGACCGGACCGATTGTTTTCTTAACCTTTACAGTCAGTGGGCAGAATTAAAAACAAGTGTTTCTCCTCTTTGGCAGACTGACGTGTTGTTTTTGTTTGTTGGTTGGTTTCCTGTGCGTGTCCGCCTCACTGCGTGAAACGAGAACAAGCGGCAGACAGCTGAACTTTGACCTCCTTCAGCTCCTCCTGCCTTTCGCCGCTCTGCTGCTGGGTTTTCTGTCGGCAAAAAAAACACCAAATTGGAACAAAAAGCCGAGGGCGGACCTGGTCCGGATCGCAAATGAAGAAAGTCGTGTCCTTCCTGCTGACCGCGTATGTCTCGGTGCCTGTTCTCCTCTACCTGTTTCCCTGGATACTGAGCTATGCCATATTCTGTCACCTGCGTAAGTACAACTCCTGGTTCATATGCGACACCAGAGGATTTCACTGGCAAAAATAAAAAATCAATAAAATGTTATGTTATAATTTACTAACTTGTTGTGCAAGTTAATATATTGTCATTGTTTTTACAGTGACGTCAAAATTGTTCTCATGAACATCCACCAACACCAGTGGATATAATAATAATAATAAAAAATCAGATTTTCACATAAACTACAGGAGCGCACAGATTTAAACTTAAATTATTCTGAAGCTTTTATTCTCACACACCCTGTGAATGTGTTGCATTTTGTTGCATGACAGCCACAAACTTCAAGTCAGTGTGTGTGTGTGTTTTTTGTTTTTTTTATTGGCATTTTCAGTGCTGGACAAACACAAAACAGGTCACAGTTTTTCTATTTTACCATAAACATTGAAACCTGTGCTGTTTGTCCATATGCAGTCCCCCCTTCACTCTGCCTTCAGAAGTCACAGAGCTAGAAAATAGAGGCTTCCAGTCCTGTGGGTGATTTAATCTCAGCATGAATCCGGCTGTGGGCAGTTTGTTGGAGAACATCAGTGAAGACGAAGAGCCGCGTTAGAAAGGTTGGGGATGAATAAAACCGTGGAGGAGTACGAAGGAAGGTTAGGTTGTGAAAACTGTGAAAGCTGATGGAACAAAACTGAAGTTTTGCAGAAAATCGGGAGAAGAAGAGGATTGACTGGCAGTGCGCTCCGCCAAGCTGGTCCTTATGGAGAATTGTCTAAATTAAAACCATTTAAGGATTTATGCTGCTTCCCACAAGCTGTGATGGCTCAGAGCCACCAGGTGGAAGAATTTTAAAAGAAAATGTTCACTTTTCTGGTGGACAACCTACACATGAACTTTTTTTTTTAATGTGTTGGAATGATCTAGTCAAAGTCCAGACCTAAGTGTGTCCGAGATATTCACAGTCACGCTCCATCAGATCTGACAGAAACCGGCATATTTTGGAAAACGTATTAATCCAGAATAGATGTTCAAAACAAAAACGCACGGACGCCCTTGCAGCGATCATTAATGGATCCACATGGAATTACTCCAGAGGGGCAGAAAAAAAACGTGCATGCCACACCTATCAGATTTTTTCTGTAAGTATTTTTTTCAGTAAAAAAAATGTTTTGGAAACATTCTTAATTTTTTATTTTTCTCCAATCAGTCTGTCGTGTAAAATCTCCCAAAAGTGAAATTCACAAAAATAAATTCACAATTTTGGTTCTAATGACATAAAATGTGAAGGTGCAAATAAATAAATAATTTCATTAAAATAATAATAAAATAGTCCCTTAAATGCAGTACATAAACAAAGATAAAAATTTTGGTGAAGCTGGTGAACTTTGTGGCTTCCGATGCGTCTCGAGGCAGTGTGTGTGTGTGTGTGTGTGTGTGTGTGTGTGCGTGTGTGTGTGTGTGTGTGTGTGTGTGTGCGTGCGTGCGTGTGTGTGTGCGCGTGTGTGTATGCGTGCGTGTGTGTGTGTGTGTGTGCATGCGTGTGTGTGTGTGAGACGTGAAGCTGCGATTGGAAACGCTGCGCCGCTGACCTGCTGCGCTCTCACCTGCAGTGAGGTTTCCATACTCGGTGGATCTCCGCAGACCCCAGGATGTCCTGAACCACACCTGCAACTTCTACCTCAGCCCAGAGGAGGGCGTCTCAGTGGGAGTGTGGTAGGCTGATTGTACCCCTTTCAGTGCGTCAGCGCTCTCGTCCGGCGCAGGTGGCCCTTCAGTGAACAGAGGCGTCATGGCTGCTCGAGGCCCCGCTCTGAAAACCCGCCGTATATTCCTGAGGCTCTTTTTGTTTGTGCCGCTCAGTTTCTCTTTGTCTTTTTCACTCCCTCTCGGTCTCAAAGGCACACGCTCCCTGCCAGCCAATGGGAAGCGGCCGCTGGGAGGAATCTCGACTGGTATCAGGAGGCCCTGGGAGACGGGCGTCCTGTTATTATCTACCTCCATGGCAACGTAGGGACCAGGTGGGTTAAGTGCAGAAGGATACATATCCTTGAAATGATCCTAATAGAGTCTAGTGGGCATTAGACGGTTGCCTTGGTTCTTGTTGGCTGGAGCAGACGAGTCTGAAAGTCTCTCTCCTTTCATGTCTGCAGGGCGATCAGTCATAGAGTGGAGCTGGTGAAGGTCTGAGTGAAATAATAAGTTGTTTCCAGGTGTGACTATGTTCTCTTTGAGCTTCAATAGAGAATGTAAATTGTTTTGTAATCTTGTAGATCCTGAGTGCTGCAGGATACCACGTCTTATCTTTAGACTACAGAGGTAAGGAAGACTCAAAACTTGCAGAAGCAAGTAGAAAGTAAAACTTTACTTGCGTAGCACTTTTCATAAAGTGATTTCAAAAGGTCCGTTTTTATTTGCTGTAATAAAAAAGACATCAAATTTTCAGGCTAGTTATATTTATTGTTCATATGCCAGCTATGAGCTGTAGGGACCAATATGGATGTTTTTTTTTTTTTTTTTAGAAATTTCAAAATATCTGGGGTAAGAAAACATTGTAACAAGACAAAAAGACTGGATAAAAACATTGTAACAAGACAAAAAGACTGGATAAAAACATTGTAACAAGACAAAAAGACTGGATATGAATGTAGGAACCTCTTTCTGCAAGGAAACAGAGTTAAACTGTTGCACCTTCCAGCCATATATATTTAGATTGAGTTCAAATTCATGGAACCTCATTATTGACGATTCTCCTAATTATGACTCTGAAAAGTGGAAAAAAAATCTCCATTTTTCTTTTGAAAGTGGCGATTAATGCACTAAGACTGACAGTATAGCATCATGCTTTCCTACGTTTGGCCAAAAGCCCCCGATAAACCCAGATAATTCAACGAGGTCGGCTTTTCAGCCTGTAAATGTGTCTTTTAATGAGGATTTGGAGATTCTTCCGGAGAGCCCAGCGAGGCTGGATTGACCAACGACGCCCTCTACCTGCACAACTGGGCAAAGGCCCGAAGCAGAGGGAGCCCGGTGTGCCTGTGGGGACACTCTCTGGGTTCTGGGTCAGTTCCTCTCTGAGCTTCATTCATTCATTCATTCAGACTGCTTCTCATGACAAAGATGCAATAACCAATTAAGACTTTCTTCTTTTCCCCCCCCCCCTAGAGTGGCAACCAACGCTGCAGTGAAACTCCAAGAACAAGGTGGGTTTGAGTTGAGGTCCGTTCTCAGAAGCGTCTCCCGCTCAGTACTCAAAGCTTGTGTCGGGGTCAAAAGTGCTTTTAAAATATATTGGACACATTTTGTCACGTTGCAACCAAAAATTCAAGGTTCTGTGTCTGAAATTAGGACACGGTTGGTTGCAAAGTGCAAGGTGAACGAGATTAAAAATAAATCTGTGCGTGCTGTAATCGTAAGGTTTACCGTGCGAAATTTACCAATAGCAGCTGTACATGATTTTAGATTATTGCTTTTAATCTAACTAATCTCTATTTTGCATAATAAATAAGGTCGTGCTTTTGGCATTTCAGGTTCTGCCGTCGACGCTCTGATCCTGGAAGCTCCGTACACGAGAATCGGAGAAGTTGTAGTAAATAACTGGCTGGCCAAGGTGAGAGGTCGACACGCGGCGAACCTCCGGTCGCTTCGCCGAGGCTCCGAATGAAACACGGCAGAAGTTATTTAAAGATGGACATTACTGCTTTTCATCTGAGACTTCATTTTTAGTTGCTCGTGGTTTAGCAAATAGACTTTTGAGAGAAGAAGTTGACAAAATAAGATCTTCAAACTGCTTTTATCTCCCCCTTTCAAAACCTTTCCATATTTCCAGCTGTACATGTTCCTGCCGGGTTTTGAGAGTTTGCTCTGGAACATTCTGGAAAGGATCGACATTTCATTCTCCAATGATAAAAAGTAGGTTTTGCTTGAAACAAAACCAGATTGAAAACATTTTTGATTTAATTTTTAGTAACATCTGCCGTCATCGCTGCAGTTTGCAGACGCTGAGCAGCCCCCTCCTCATCCTGCACGCGGAGGACGACAACATCGTTCCGTTTCACATGGGTCAGAAGGTACGGCGGGTTTTCTCCGTCTCCCTCTCTCTCTCTAAATTTCCTGTCCGCTTTCCTCAAGCACTTTCCATCTATCGGACCCAGCTGTACCAGATATCGCTGCGAGCCCAGAGGGAATCCGAGACGGGTGATAGAGTGCAGATGATCTCCTACGGGGCGAACCTCGGACTGTCCCACAGCCACATCTGCTTGGCCCCTGACTTGGCGGACGTCGTACAGTGAGTGGGGAAGTCGCCACCTTTTTGTGTTCAGAAATCACGCCGGTGTTTGAATTTAATCCACACTCTCCTACGTTGCAGGAAATTTCTACAAAACCTGGAGAGAGAAACATGAAAGTCTGGAAAAAAAGAGGAATAAATCACTTTGACTGAAGTTTTGGGTTTAATTTTATTATAGACAGAACACAAGAAAATTTGTTTTGTGTGTGTTTTCTTAACTCCTTTTTCCAAAAGCATCTTTTGATTATAAACAGGGTTTCTCTATCAGGACAGGCCACAAACTAAAACAAATGTAAAAAGAAAAAAAAAACTTTTAACTGCTGCGTTCCTGATACCCATCTAACTTCCTGGATCCTGCAACCGTCTCTGATCCACAGGAACATCAGAATTGAGGCGATTTCTCAGAGCTGTTCCACCCCTCGGAGAATAAACCCAGATTAAGTAATCTGGGCTTTCACAGTGGCCAATGCGTTGGCGCTCAAGAAATGTAACAGTGCTTTGACTTGGAATGTGCGTTTCTACTAGCACCGAAGAAGAAGAAGAAAAAAAAAACTTAATGCGTTGCATAAAGGCTCTGTTCTGTAAAAGCAAAAGGCAGCCCAGAAGATGAGGAGCATTTTCACATTTTCTTCAGAGCCCTGACGGTTTCCTCGATGGCCTCCCGTGGCTCGCTGGGAGGCGGGATCTTCAGGTCGGTCGGCTCCACCCCCCACACCTCGGTGGCGTACTCTGTGATTGTTCTGTCGCTCGAGAACTTCCCAGTCGCCGCAATGTTCTTGATCACCATCTTCGTCCACTCCACTGAATCCTAAAAGAAAAGATAAACATTTCAAGTGCTGCGGAAATAAATCTGGGAACTTGTGGTAAATAAGATTGAAAATTTTTAATTGCAGAAGCAGAACAGGAAGTAACGGATGATCAATTAGTAAGTAGGGGATTTGATGATCCTTTTGATTTTTTTTTTCCGTCAGTGGAATGTACTGAATTTAAAAGATGGATTTTTGAAGAAAACTGTCAGAATTTTATACTACAGAAGAAAGAACTATTAAGAAAATAAAAACAAAACTTTACCTGATAGAGTTTGCTGACTTTTTCTTGGGTTTTCAAATAGTCTTCAAAGTCTGCAAAGACTTTGAATCTAAAAAGAGAGAGAGAGAAAAAAAGTGTAACTAAATACAAAAACACAAGAAGGGTAACACAGAAAAGTGAAGTTTCTCACCGGTCGTATTTGAAGAGCATGTCGGTGAGGTCCTTGAAAAGCTCTGGATTCTTGGGGCTGAAAAAACCGCTTGCAATCTGATCCATCACTTGTTTCAGCTCGGGGATCTTCTCGTAGTACGTCATGGCATCGTACCTGAAAAACATAAAAACACAAAAAAAACTCGATCCTTAAAAAGAAATCTCCAAATTCCGTTGTGCGTTTTGTCTCGTTGGGTCTTTCACCCCTCTTTGTCCATCTCGGCCACATCCTCCACCCTCATGCCGAAGATGAAGAGGTTTTCCTCGCCCGCCTCCTCGGCCATCTCCACGTTGGCTCCGTCCATGGTGCCGATGGTCAGCGCGCCGTTCAGCATGAACTTCATGTTGCCCGTCCCCGAAGCCTCGGTGCCAGCAGTGGAGATTTGCTCTGACAGATCTGTGGCGGGAATCACTGAGGAGGAGAAAAACCACAAAGTGCCACCATTTCTTTTTCCTCTCCAACAGAAGTGCTTTTTTAAATTATCATCAATTTATACCTTTCTCCGCAAGAGAAACTCTGTAGTTCTCCAGGAAGATGACTTTCAGCTTGTTTCCAACCACGGGATCGTTGTTCACCACGTCAGCCACCGAGGTGATGAGCTTGATGATCTTTTTTGCCATGTGGTACCCCGGTGCGGCCTGCAGAGGGCGACGACGCGAATCGTTCAATTCCGGTCGTGTTGCTCTGTGCCAGCCCTGTCGCGTTCGGCGCGTGCTGTGACCTACCTTCCCACCGATGATCACCGTTCGCGGTACGAAAGGCGCGTTGGGGTTCTTCCTGATGCCTGATGGGAAAAAAAGATGAACATTTATAAAGTTTAAATGAATGAAACTGAATTGATAGAGTATAGCATTTTAAAATGGAGGTAGAGTGCATAAAAAATGCAGTATTCAAAACAGGTTTGTAAAAAGAGAAAACAAGTAGAACTTCAAAAGGAACAGATTATTTTTGAGAAATATTTAATTCGGAACGGAGACGGCTGAAAAATGCATTTCAGTTGAAGTTGCTAGTTTATGGGACAATCCTGACAGAGATAGAAAACAATCTAAATTTCCGTATTTAAAAGAAATGTGAAAATTATGCTCAGGATTTGACGAGCTGATACTTTAATCTGTTTTTGAATTATGTTTGCAATAGTCTGAGTTAGACTGCTAATTCTCATTGTTTGTGAATAGATATAAGTTTATATATCTTACTGCTGCATTTCCTTCATCGATTTCATTTAGTTGTTGCACGAATGAACACAATTTTGCACCAGTTCGGATTCATCCGTCACACGAAAAGCCACAAAGTAGTGAAATTTGAGCATTGTGAATACAGGACATCTGTTGAGAAACTTCCAAAAACAAAAAAAAAAAAGAAAGAAAAAAGCAGCTTCTCTGCTCATTGCAGCTTTGTGGAAAATTTCCCCACTGCTGATTGCAGCGGCTGCATTCCTCATGTCTGTTTTAACATGAAGCTCCAGGTGGAGGTGGAATATTCCTCAGCAGGAAACGTCTGACTACATCATCCAACGAATCACTCAGAAATTCACACCTGCAAGTACTTGCGAAACCTTTTTTTTGTGTGTGTTTTTTGGCTTTGTATTGAATGACTAAGCAATATATATATATATATATATATATATATATATATATATAAACACACAAAACAACTCGTTGCTGCACGTACGGTTGTACAAGGCGATGATGTGCAGGCAGTTGAGCAGCTGCCGCTTGTACTCGTGGATCCTCTTGACGTGGACGTCGAACATGGAGGAAGGGTTGATCTTCACCCGGTACTCCTTCTCCAGGAACTGGGCGAACTTCAGTTTGTTGTCCTGTGGAGAAACGCGACAACGGGAGTCATTGACGTGAAAACTGCTGAGTCAGGAGAGCGCTGCCCAGACACGGTCTGCGGCGCGATGTCACAACGCCCGGGTTCATTAGACCGAGATGCCTCTTCATGCTGTGATGTGCAGAAATGTTAAGATGTACTTTTCCACGGTATGTTGCATCACTGTTTGTGCTCTGATAATGTTTTACCTTTTAAAAGGACAAATACCTCAGGAAGAGCATCAACCGATTAAAGGGGTGTTACTTTGTGTTTTCCCAGTCACATAGTGCTATTTTATAGCACAATTAAGAAGCTATGTTAACTTCAAATGGTATGTACATCTAAATGACTGAAAAGAAATTTTACTTCCTGATTTAACGCCTAAATATTGGACCTCTGTCTCTTTAAAAAATGCCTGCTCTTCCTGAAATTCTATCACCAGAAAGTCATTACAACATGGCTCCTCTATTATCCCTTTAACAAAGTTTTTAACCAGCATTTTGCTCAAAAGTAGCTCCTATAATGATCTCAGCAGATTCTCAGTTGCTAATTGCTGCTGGCTAGCCTGAAGGAGCCTGGCGGGCAGGGCTGTTCTGTTAGGCCGAAGCCGCATCTCTGAGGAGGAGCGGCGTCTCAAAGGCGGGGCTCACTTCTCCCAGGCGTTTTGCACAGCTGCCGTGGAGACTAAAGGATTTGTCAAAAGTGCGTGAAAGAATCACAGCAATGCTCCGGGAATAACATAAGATGATGTGAAGCTCAAACACTGCCCCTTTAATTGATAATCTTATGATAGGATTAACAGTAATCCCATCATAACATGATGATGGGATAATCCCCTCTCCTGTCAGACCCACCTGTTTGATTTTAGCAATGTCTCGGACGAAGGCCAAGTCGTTAACGAAGTCATTCAGCTTCTTCAGCTGGCTCAGGTCCTTCACATAGTCCTCCCCTACGACCTGAGAACACATCACACGACAGCGACCAATGTTCACATTAGTATTTAGTTCAACACGATAGAGGATTTTACGTCCTAAAGGCCGACTGGCTGCTGAGTCGCGGTAAAACTAAAGAACGCGTCGAACCTCAGCGATGAGTTCAGCCAGTCCAGGGTTGCAGAGGAGCAGCCAGCGTCTGGGAGTGATGCCGTTGGTTTTATTCTGAAACTTGCCGGGTTCAAGGTCACTGAAGTCTTTAAACCTGAGAAAATAAAATAAAATAAAATAAAAATAAAAAAACAGAGGAAAAGTTGGGGTTTGCTGTCTGGACAAGCAGCAGTTTGATTTCAGCTGGTTAGCCAACAAAACCTAAACTTAACAGATGGGTTTCTCTTTTTCTCCGCCAATATGCTGAACCAGGGTGACATTTATTTCTAGATTGCATCTTTTACACTTATGACCAAGCTTGGAACTTTTATCAGTCGGCAAAAGCCTTACACTTCGGTTTTGATGATGTTGGAGTGGATCTGAGCGACTCCATTGACGGCGTGAGAGCCCACGATACACAGATGGGCCATGTTCACCCTCTTGCAGCCGTCCTCTTCAATCAGAGACATCTTCCGCAGTTTGTCGATGTCGTTCGGGAAGAGAGTGGCAATTTTCTATGGGACAAAAAAAAAAGAAAAGAAAAGACATGTAAAAGCATCCGGTCCTTTAACTCGCATTAGAATTATACATTTACATTTTCATTGGATTGATTGTATGAGTAATTAGAAACCTAAACTGATTTGCAAGGCAAGAATTTCGAAAAGAAGCATCCAAGAAGCAAGTTGTAACTCTGGGGGAGCTGCATAGACTCAACTTTGCAGCTCAGTTTCAAAAGCAAACACACAAATCCAGAAATGAGACTGCAAACCTCGAGAGAACAGTTTCATTATTATGCCACTTTCATTGTGTTCCTTGAAAACTGTCTCTAAAGCATCATTTATGTCAACCATTTGGACCATTTATCAATCCGTCATCCTGTCCGCCACCTTTTATCAGTGGAAAACTCAATAACAATGTTTTGCACAACCCTAAAAACGGTTTCATATCTCAGAAGACTAAAAAAACCCCCCCAAAAAACGCATTGTTTGTCCATTGCTGGATATTTGGCGTCTCTGTTGCGACATGCTTACGTCTAGGTGAGCCTGATTGATCTGGTAGATGATCTGCAGGTGTCTGGGCAGCAGTTTCTCCAGCAGCTCCACATGCCAGCGCTCCAGAGCCTCAGGCAGGATGGTGTGGTTGGTGTAGGCAAACGTGCGCCTGGTGAGGTCCCAGGCCTGCGAAGGAGGAGGGACAAACTCTCATTTAAGAGTTGCATTTTGATAATCAGGGGTAAAACCAAGCTTTTAAAATAAACTCCGCAATTTTACTCCTGGCAAACGACGCAAAGTCGCAGATTGAAATTCAGCAAGAGCGGAGGCAGTCGTTTCATTTTCTCGCTTTGTTGTTTTAGCCCCAGCTCACATTGCTTGCCCTTACTTGTTCTCAATTTTCTAATTTGCACTTCCTGTCACAGTCGCCGTTGATGATCAAGACTAATGAGATACTTGAAGGCGACTTTAACTCACCGTTTCCCAGTCGAGTTTCTCAATGTCTACAAAGATCCTCATCAGTTCGGGGATGGCCATGGCAGGATGGGTGTCGTTCAGCTGAATAGCGACCTGGAAAACAGGAAACAGTGAGGGCGGTCTGCGGCTGTTGGAAAGCAATGAGTCAGTCGTTTTGTGTCTGTGTGTTTTTTTTTAATCAGCTTTAAGTCATAGCGCAATAGACAAGATCCAATAAATCGATCCATCACTAATCTGATCTGAGCGTAATAGGAAACAGAAAAAAAAAAATAAATAAAAAGTTATAAATTCATGCCAGAAAAACTGGAAAAACAATTTCTAAATTGGAGAAGTCAAAGATTTGCTAGAAAAAAAAACCCTCTGAAATTTGAGATTAACCTAAAATTTTCTTGATTTTTTTGGGGGGACTTTTGAAAATTTTCGTTTTCATAAGTCGAAGGTTTTCAACTGTTGAAACACGAGTTTGTTTTTTTCTAGCAGATTTTTGACTTTTCCAACTCCAAGTTTTGTGTTTTTTCTAGATTAATCTCTTTATTTGTTTTTTCTACATATGGAGCTCAGAATTTTCCTCAGTCTTTCTGGAAAATTTGTGTTTTTTCTTGGCTGAAATTCTCCTTCCTTTTCTGCCTACAATGTCCTTAACGCACCGCCGTCTGCCCCTCCTCTCCCTTTTCATTCACTTATTTATTTAAAACCAGGCAACCATGACTCGACAAACTTCCTCCACCTCGCAGCCTCGGCAGCTGCAACAGACGTGAGCAAAGAGGAAATGCTGACATAATGTTGCAAACCAACCAACAAAATGAAGCAACATGACAACTGAAAACCGAACCGCATGTTGCGACACTGATTCCGAGCTCCTACTTTGTCTGGGAAGGTATCGAAGGAGATGCGGCTCGGTACGCCCTTCTTGGTGGTCTTGAAGCGGCGGATGATGTCTTGGAGTGTGGCTGCCACGACAAAGTACTCCTGCTTCAGACGGAGCTCCTTTCCTTCAAAGAACTGAACCGCAGGAACGAGCGCACAAAGTTACACTTAGGTGGAAAACGTCTGATGGTTTACGGGCCATGAAAAAGTGAACTTACATTATCGTTTGGATAGAGGACTCGGGAGATGTTCTCCGCCAGATTCCTGTCCAGAACGGCCTGTATGTAATCGCCCACATTAACTAGAGAAAGAAAATACTAGTTTTGGTTTTCAAAAAAAATTAAACACACTGAAATCTGGCAGAGAGGAAGTGACCACAATTGCACACATCAAGCACAAACACCGTTAAGCTTTTCCACAGCACAAGCATGGGCAAGTTATTATATTATAAGTTGTAGACCAATTGTGAAGAGGAGGGAAAATTGTACATTTATAAATATTGTATTTGCAGTTAAAAAAAACACAATGTGGCAAAAATTTATATTCAACTTTCTAAAACAGCTGACTAACTTTGGGGTACGCCTACCATACCTGCACAGTTACAAGCTGCTTTTGTCAAAATAAGTCAAGCTCACTCAATCAGTCAATTGATTTTTTTTTTTGCAGTATTCAGGGAATCGCCCACACCTTCATGTTTCACCAACGTTTCCCTTTCAACTCACCTGACAAGAGCACTTTCTATGTGCCACTCTTGTATCAAAGCAAGATTTGGGAAACCGCTAAACTACTAGATGTCCTTAGCAGGTCCTGCCATCTGAGACGTGGATGTCTCCAACTCCTCCAAAGAGTTTTCCTGGATACAGTCCCTGCATATCAGATTCAGCCCTTTATTCACTGGCCTGGTAGTAGAAACGGACAAATATGTCTTGGATGTGTTCATTGGTCTTAATAGTGTCATTTATCTTCCAGAGCTGCTGTACAGACTCTGAAAGAGACTTGGTTGGAGTGGATTCAGAGGTAACCAAGTAAAGAAGGCTGGACATTTTCCTATTACTTCAGTTACACAAGACTTTACCAAAAGTCCATCAACACACCCTGAAGAATGCAGTTGAAACACGCCAAATGATTCAGGGGCTCTGAATACTTTTGTAAAGCCCTGAACATTGTGCAACTCTTTTGCCAAAAAGGTAGGATATTTTTTTGCATGAAAGTCCTCCTGGACTTACAGTCTTTCAAGTTGAAGTCGTTGGGCGCACGGGCCGACCACAGCCTCATCGTATTCACAGTGTTGTTCATGTAGCCAGGAATGGGTGTGTCGTAAGGCATTGCTAAAACAACCTGCAGGTCAGAGGTCACAGGTTGACCACGTCAGAAGGTCGTTTACTCTCGTTCGACCCAAATTCATGCAAATTCTTTCCACTGTGAAGTTGCCACCAAGTACCTGAGTGTCGACCCACTTGGGCCCGTCTCTCGTCTCCTCCACTCGTCCGTAGAAGTGGACAGGCAGCATGTACTCGGGGCGAGCCTTCTCCCAGGGGTTTCCATGCCTCAGCCAATCGTCTGCCTCCTCCACCTACAGCGTGGAAGGTCACAGATAAGTGAAACTCCCAGAACAAACTCGGCCTTATTTGACCTCTCTGTACCGTATAGCTAGAAACAAGGAAGCAAGGTCAGCTCTAACATCGGCCCGCAATAGCATTTTTTTCTTCTTTTTGTTTTGACGTAAATAATAGCTCTCGCAAGCTGCAGATATCAGGCGCACAGGTTCATCCACCTGCGTGCGTACACAACGGGGCACGCGTGCGGTTCAGAGTTCAGGGGGACGTGTTTACACGGACCGGGTTCGACCCGCAAAGAACCCGGCGGAGTGCAAGAAACAGCAGAAGCCTGCAGTTTTGCAAGCTCCTATCAGAAGATACACAAAGGTTTGTTTTGTCATGCACAAAAACAAACCTTTGCCTGACCCTCTTAGCCATGCTAAGAAGGTCAGACGACAATATGGTCCTTTTGTCAGTAATTAACTTGTGATGTTTTCTGACCCAGTTCATCTCAACTTTAGTCTCTGTCAGATTTTAAAAGGGAATCCTGTTTTCAAAAAAAAAAGATGAAGGTGAGGGGATCAATGTCTTTGTCACAGCTGAGCTTCAGGCACTTTTTAAATCATTAATTAAAAAAAAAAAAAATGAAGGAAGCACAATTACCTGCCAACCATCTCTGATCTTCTGATTAAAGATGCCGTATTCATATCTGATGCCATAACCGTAAGCTGCGAGTCCCAGGGTCGCCATGGAATCCAAGAAACATGCTGCAATAGCAAGAAATTCAAATATTATAAACAGCTAAATATGAACTGGGGTATTTTATTTTATTTTTTGTGGTGCTGCAGGAGATATTTCTGCGGCCTATTGCTCATTTCCACCATCTGTCGTACACTTTCTTAAGCCGAGAGTTGCTTCACATGTTCGGCAGACATGCAGATTTATTGGAGAAGAGCCTATGAGCCCTGGAGACAGCGATGGCGCCAAACTGCACCGGACACAGAACGTCTGCACGGGAACGTGCACTTGAACTGATCTCTACCCCACTTCTCATCCTCAAAGGTGGTTGTGAGGATGCTTTGCTCACCCGCCAGTCTGCCCAGGCCTCCGTTGCCCAGACCCGCGTCCTCCTCCACCTCCTCCAGCTCCTCCATGTCCAGGCCGAGCTGCGGCGAGAGCGTTTCCCATCAGCACACTCACAACGTCGAGTTGCTCGGATTCGGCAACTTTAGACCTCTGAGTGCGACCGTCTGACCTGGTAGATGGCCTCATCGCACGCGTTCTGCAGGCCCAAGTTGATCATGGTGTTCTGCAGCGTCCTGCCCATGTAGAACTCCAGGGACAGATAATAGACCCTCTGGGGGAAAGAAGAAAAAAAAAGACAGGGGAAATTAGATCCGAAACAGTCTGCAGCTTTTAGCATTGAAAATAATAACTTCAATATGCAGGAAATCCAGTTTAGAGCTGTAAAACTACTGAACATAAGTGGAGCAATCCTGCCTTCCACTGAGCAAACAATGATTAATGTGTGAACCTCACGCACTGACCTGGAAATACAAAGCCTCTTTGTTATGCAGAAAAGTTTATGCAACACAAACTAGTGTCTGGGTGGCAAAGATTCCCAGTTGTCTTTCAGAACGATCTGTGTGTGATGCATGTGATGAAAGGTTTCTGCATTTCATGCAATAAATGCATTCTGAAGGGCTGCAGCTTTGGGTGCAGATCTGTGTTTTTTACCTTCGGGTCTGTCTCGTAGTAAAACTGCTGCGTCCTGATCCATCTGCCCACCAGGTGGTCCCGGACGGTGTGGGCCAGGGCGCAGTAGTAGTCCCTGGGGGTCGCGATGTTCCTGTCTTTGACCAGGGTGAAGTGCAGGTGGCGGTTGAAGCCCTTCTTCAGCTCGGCCACGTTCTCCACTCCCACGATGCCCCTGATGCTGATCTGCTTCCGCTTCTCCTGGTCGGTGAGAGGAGTCGCCATGCCGGCCCGGCGTGCAGGTTACAGACGATCCCGAGCTGGAAGGAAGGAAAAAAGGAAGGAAGGAGGCGCTTCGGAGCCTTGACCCGAGCCAACCCGACTGGGAGCGAAGCGGACGGGACGTGTTGGTGGTGGGAACAGGAGTCTCCTCCTCGGGCTGTTTCTCATTGGCGAGTTGCAAGGGGGAGGAAGGCGTTTCCCCCGTCAGAGCTTTACTTCACTTCACTGTAGGAACAAGAGACTGCTCTGTTTAGGAGAGGAAAAACACAGCAGGAAGTAAAGAAGACAACCGGCAACAGGACAGAGGCTGGGTTAGTGAGTCAAAAAATAAAAAAAAAAATAAATAAAAAAAAAATCCAGGAAGAACCAAACTGGCACACATCACATACTTGATACAGCGAGAAAGTTGTTTATTTATCATTGTTATTATTTGGTAAAGCCAGTTTCCCGAAAACATGGTTTTGCACTTGACTTCCAAAGTGCAAAAGTTTAAAGCAAACTGTTAGACTCTTAATAATAATAATAATAACAATGTAGTTATTCAAATGGACTTGGTGCACATAACTTGGGGCCCCACTTAAAGTAATTAGAGGTGCAGATCATGTCAGTGCAATTCTATCTATCTATCTATCTATCTATCTATCTATCTATCTATCTATCTATCTATCTATCTATCTATCTATCTATCTATCTATCTATCTATCTATCTATCTATCTATCTATCTATCTATCTATCTATCTATCTATCTATCTATCTCTTAGTGTTATAAATGCACAATATAGCTCCATTTAATCGAAATAAGGGGTGAAACTAGTTTTACATTCTATGACAAAACTGTAAAAGAACATTTCTTTCTGTTCCTCTGAGTTTCAGTGTTTATGAATTGTTTTTGCGAGCTGATAAAAGCTGGGTTCCTCATGTTTCCCTCAGCCCACTGGCTGCAATGTTGACACCTTGGAGATACCGTGAGACCTGAACATCATGGCATGGAGTGCATCCCATGCCACCATTCATTCTGGCTTTTAAACTGGTTATGTTGATCCTGTGTCCAGACAGAGGGATAATCAGTGGGCGTCGCATCGTGACATGTTTGTTCTGAAGGTCCTGCAGCTTCTACTTCGTCTTCCCAACATGGCGCCTCCTCATCCTGACTCTCTTACTGAGGAACCACAGAGCTCTGTTAGGGTTAAAGCCACATCTTCTGAAGTCGGGATATTTTTCCTCCGGCAGGTTCCAGAGGAATCGCCTCGAACCAGATTCTGGACTGGCACCAAATCTCCACAGATGCCATGTTGATGCCAGTAAGCTGCCAGGAGAAAGGCTTTCCTGTCTGTGGAAGTCATCATAAATGCTTCAAATGTGTTTTTCATTTCAAACAAACAACCAAATAAACAAATGATTCGTCGTGTTCCTCCATGGGCTCCGCAACTAAATTCTCTTTGGCTTCAAAGACATTTTTTACCGGTCGTCTGAATGGGTTAGTGCCGCCATCTGCTCTCGCCCTTCTCCACGTGAACGTGCGAAACGTTGTTTGCGAGATGTCTTTCATGGGTCGTGCCCTGCAGATTTCCCACAAGCGACAGTGAAATCAAGGACGGCACACAATCAGAGCACAAGCAACGTTTGTCAAAGACGGCAATGAAGAAAGAATGGAGACGCGCCGATGTTGACACCGATTTTATTGAAGAGTCACAGATACGAGAAATACAGAGGCTTGTTAAATACTTCAAATAATCGCATAAGTGGTAAGATGCGGCAATAAGAGACGTAAAACCGTGACAACCGATAATCATATTGTCTGGAAATTATAATGAGGACAATTTTATTTTTTCTATTTGTCAGATTCTCCTGAAGAGAAACTTCAGGTGCACTACAACTAAAACTGAACGTGACATTCCACCTCAGATCAGACAGGGCAAAAAATTATTATAGTGATAAAGAAAAACCCCTCTGGAGATGTGATCAATGTATAACACACAGTCACACCAATACACACTCACACGAAGATATGTATGTACATTTGGAGATAAAACACCGAGTGTCGCCCAGCGACTGGGTGTAAAGTTTATTTAGGTTGTAATATAAATCTGCGTCCCCATAGTTTGCTTAAACTGTGTTAAACTATATTTCATTTATTTTTTCTTAAAGAAACCGTGTTGCATTCACGCTGAGTAAAATCCCTGTTTCCTTCAGAAGCACACCTTCAGGTCGTGTTTATTAGATCTGTGCCGATGTTTTCCACACAAAAACTATTCACCTTGAATTCCGATGTTACATCGTGAATTTGTCGCTAAATCGAAGTTATACTTTAAAAACCAACCAGCTAATTCTTGCAAAGCACCCTGAACGTGACGTGACTTGCTGAACTTTCTTGGTCAAAACGCATGCGCACTGTGGAGTTGTTATGCTGACTGTGTGCTGATGTTTCATGTGTCATCGTGTGGCCCACCATGGCTTCAGTTTCTCTCTTTCAGTAGAAAGAGAGAAAAAAAAGTGTAATATTCCTTTAAAGATCGTGACGGTTACAGTACGTCCAAAGGGTTTCCGGTGGTAAAAAAGTTGCCCTTTTACGGTGGAAAAAGAAAAAAAAAAAGCACGCAGCAGCAGATGAGGTTTGGCATCACAGATGTCACGGTTGACTCTGCTGAAGCAGTTGATTTAGTAAGAAGCAAAGTTTCACAAATGTTTTAGGGTTAGTACAAATGGGGGGGGAAGGCACACCCGTGAAGTTCTGACACAGGATAGCACCTCATGTGCATGCCAGACCGGTGCCTTAAAATATTCACGCCCTTTGCGACTTTTGTCACGTTTTTGTCGCATAAGAACCACTAACGTACTTTTCGTTTTATTGCAATTTAAGGTGGTGGATATAAATAGGTGCGACATACTTTTATATTATATATTCACTTTTTTTATGTATGGAAACTTATGGCCCAGATGTAATGTCAGCAAAAATATGCATGCCCCACTGCAAGATGTATTTTTACTTTAATATAATTCTTAAATCTGTGTTTCTTTTGCCTTCCACTTCACAACTACACACTACTCAGTGTTGGTATCTCATCAGATCCTTAATAAAATAGTTCAAAGTTTGCAGCTGTAATGTGACAAAGTGGGAAAGAGCTCAAGAGGAATGAATACTTTGGCACCGTTCATCCGTTGGGCTGCAATGATCTAGAAAACGACTTTTGAACCTGAAAATGCTTCCCCAAACGTGGCCATTAGGATTCCAGTTCCTTCTGTTTCCTATTTTACTATACAAAACAAAAATCAGATAGACATTAATCCTCTGCTCAGCAGACCTACAGCTGGTTCAGGACAACCTGAGCGCATCGATCACAGTCTGTAGCTCCTGTGACGGAGGTTTTATTTCTCATCAGATGTTACAAAATGTCTCAGTTTCTCAAGATTCTCTTAAATCCCAAAACCGGATGAAGAACGCAGGACGACTTGAGGAGTCAAGTTACAAATGCAATGTCTAATTTGAAAAATATCTGGTGTGATATTTAACTTGGTTTTATTTCCTGTTCAAAAATGCTTAATTAATTTCCTACTTTAAAAAAAAAAAAACTTGAAGAGTTGCTGCCTGATGCTTTCTATTCCCAGCAGGAACAGAAAGTTGTCACCATCAATTCAACAGGAAATTGGTTTGGAGGACTAAAAGAGCAACCAAACAGATTTAGTGACATCTAGTGACGAGGTGAAAGATTGCGACAAACTCAAAACATTACATTCTGTTTCCTGAAAGACCTTTTCTTGAGACATTTAGTTTTTCCTTTCGTCAAGCCATTCTGGGCTACCGTAAAACATGAGTACATTATAATATGTGCTGTTCATCACAATCGTACGTGAAAATAGAACATTGAGTTTCCTTTTTCAGATGGCCATCCTTTCGGGCTGAAACTTTTATTGAAAAAAATTGGTAGATTTAGTTGCAACTTGAAAAACTGAGGCTTTATAAGCCTGCTTGCACAAAGGTCCGCCGGGTCGCGGTGTTTTACCATTGAATGGTTCAGGTTGTTCTGCTGTCGCGTGGAGCAGAATAAAGCTACTTCTTACTACGTCAGACAGCATTGGCTTTTGTCTGGTGCCTTAGGATCTGCATTCATCAGTTGTGTTTGGTGCTAATTAGCAACTGTTTGCATGAAAATGAGGCCACCAGTGCTTGGTGAGATTGAGCGAGACAGACATTTTTTTTCTTCTTTCGGCTCTCATAGACGTGGAAAGTCATTGTCGGCACAGCTTCTCTCACGTTTGCACGCTTTAGCAAGCGTTTTAGTCAGTGCGTGCTGAAAAGAATGTTGGCCATAAAAAAAACCCAAACAAACAAACAAAAAAAAAACATTCCAGTGTCTCCTGTCTTGTTGCTTTTGTAAACTGAAAAGCCTCCAATTTCCCCTCCAAAAAAACCCCGACGTCTAATGAAACGCTTAAAGCAGAGAAGCGCCGTTTCGTCCCCTCGGTTGTAACTGTACAAAAGAGAACGAGGATAAATTCTCACTAAAAATCTCTTAACACCAATAACTTACTTAACTTTACACCTCTTCGCTATAAGTCATTTCAATAACAATATTACAAAAACTACCAGAATTCAGTCATTCACAGTAAAAAAAAAGAAAGAAAAAGAAAAAGCCCAAACTATGTGAACTGCTTTAGCACCTTATAGTAACGTCTTTACAGTCGTTTAAAACCTTTGAGATGGATTCAACCAACAGTTTTGAAAGCTCCACTGCAGAAGAAATAAAAATGTCTTCCTTCCTGTTGCATCCTAAAGCTCGATGCTGTAAATACAGTATTTCAAAAAAAAAAAAGAAAAAAAAAACAACACAGAAGTTTCACTTGGCTAAGCCACTGAGAAAAGCTTCCTACTTACACAGACGAAGGTATAATGACACTGATATGGCTGGGAGCTGAACTCTGGTCCAAGGGTCATGGCAGGCAGCTACACACACACACACACACACACACACACACACACACCCACACACACACATACACACAGTCACAAAATATGACTCCTCATTCTCGACTCAGAGTTTTGAATCCACAACAAGACTTCAAGTCGGAAACCTGACAAAGAGGCATACGCATGAAGAACGCAATATATTGAGTTGTAAGAAAAAAGAAAAGGTTAATACAATATTTTCTTTGTCTAATGAATTCATAAAAATAAAAATAAAAAGTACTCCTTCATTTAAGAAAAGAGTTGGACATTCTGCCAAGCGTTTGTTTCTTGTGATCTGAGCTGCGTTCACACTGCAGACAAAGGCCTGACCCCATCTGACTTTTTTTTTCTTAAGATGAAGCTGAGCGGCAAAAATCCGATTTCACTTTCAAATGCGGCCCAAAATCGTAAAAGTATCTCCATCTTTACGTAAGAAGGGCCACAGTCTGTACAGCACAAGTCCCGATTTCCAACGTGACTCGTCCCAAACGGGATGATGTTCCTGAAAGTGATCTCGGTTTGACTTTTCGCATCGAAAAGTCACAGAAACGTGGTACAGTTGTACCAGAATGAGGCGGAAAGCGGCACGACCGAATGTGAACAGTAGGAAAAAAAAAAGAAGCACGGCAGACGCTGTCGACGGAGCGACTCGTCATTTCTGGCAGCTTGGATCGCACCGCCTCAGAACTGACGTGTGACGACATTCCCAGCTTGTGCAAACACGACAGGCTGCTTGCGACATCAAGTCTTCTTCTGCGCATGCCGCAGACCGTTCTTAATCATAGCATGAAGAAAAAAACCCTGACCCTCTGAACTGAGCATTTATACCTGCAATGTGAAGGTAGCCCAACTCTTGACTGTAGGCATGGGCTGGTTACCAGTAACAAGAAATCCCAAGGTTTCAAAAAGCAGCTCTTTGGAAAATAATTAGCTAATTATGGCATGGGCAGTAAAGGGGAGGCACTCATCCTTCTTATGGAAGTAAGACTGCTTGCTTTTCTGTTGAGCAGGTGGCTGCTACATGAGCAGAGAGCCTGACAACTGAACCGGCTGCTTGTTTCTCTTGGAAACTAATATTACAAAATTTAGGGAATGTTGTGATATTAGACTCTTTTCGTGTTTCTTCATCAGTATATTCTATATTCTGTAAGGTTCTTTGTCCCCATACATCAAACAAGATTTGATTTCACAGCAAATCCTGATTATCTTGACAGATGCTTTTCTATTTAGACAGAACCAACTTTGACTTCTAAGTTTCTAAAGTAGCAGAAAAGTCTGAGACTAAACTTTGGTGGCAAGTAGCTGGAAAAATGAAGGAAAAACCTCAGTAATAATCCATAACAATCTTAATATTAACTCGAATAATTTGAGTTACAACACTTTGGGAGCAATAGAGTATTTTTTCATTTGAATTTGAATTGGATTTGATGCATGTCTAAAAATCCTGAAATATAAATCTGCAAAGTGATAGGAACAAGAAAAGAAAGCATCTGTTTTACATGTTCCTTGAGAGTTTCACACCAGCCCATGCCCAGTCTTGACTCAATGCGAGTCAAGACATTGAGAAATGTAAAAACACTCCTTCAGCTCAGCGCTTTCGTTACTGATCTTACGCCGTCTCCTCTGGATGTCGCGGTGAAACGTCTCGTCTTCCATAAGAATACGAGTCATAGGCACCATATGCGCTGTCCTGCACACGGCCGTGTCCAAAGCTTAGGCATGAAAAAGGCATGGCTTCAGGCCGTCATGAGGCCTCCGACGGAGTGTCATGGGGATCATTAGGTCGGGGCGACAGACGGAGAGTCGAGATCAGGAGGGAGAGGGCGGGGTCAGAGGTATTGACCTACGACGGGACGGGGAAGGGGCAAATCCTGCAGAGGTTTCGCTGCGGTCTTCAGCACACGGAGCTCGTTGGGTCTGCCTCCCCGGGCGTGTAAAAGTCAGGGATGGGTAGCCCAGTGTGAAGAGTGACCTGAAATAGAAAAACAAAACATTTGCATGCAAATGCTCATAGAGGGGACGGTTGAGGCAAGATTTGCCCTGCAGGTGGAGCTGTGGAGCTTCGTTCTCAAAAGGAGAAACTTCACAGAAACTTCCAGAGCCGCCAGTGGCTCTGAAGAACAAAAACCAGCTGATATTTTGAAATGTACATGTGATACCAAATGCAGGCTCTAGCAGTTATAGTTATACTCAATAGCATTGAATTTCTACAACAGAGTCTCACTAAAACTTATTGTCACTATGTTGTGTTGAGAATATAAGTTTAGTTAGCATAATTATAGAGACAGGTAATCTTTAGACATACAAAATATTAGATGTAGCATTAATTTTTAGGAGTAGACTTTACGGCTGGTAAACTTAGATACAAATCCAAACTAAGACAACTGGTGACTCTCTGAACTTACATAAATTTCTATGGAGAAGGCAGTCTGGTACTCCCGTTAGGAGGGTTTTCAGACAGGGAGTATAGTTATCAGGATCAATAAATTCTTTGGTGTTGGTTCAAAAGTTCAGTGAAACATTAAATGTATAAGAAAACATTAAATGTATAAGAAAAGTCTTCTCCAAAGTATAATCAAATGTATGAAGATATTTCCTTAAGCATTAAACAGCATGTTTTGAATTAGTTAGATTTAAACCATATTACTTGCATGCAATTTATATAACTAAGATACAATAGGATTATTAAACCATTATTTTTACTCTTAAAATTATTTCAGGTATTTTGAAAGAGTTTTTCCAAAATAGAAAATCCTGCAGTTTTAAATTCAAACGTATAGTTACTATTTGTAGCATTACATTTTGTTTCAGTACACAAAACACTATCTGCTTGAAGCACTGAGGCAGAAACCAAGCAGGCCCAGTGGAGGTCATAAATTCTGGAGGGTCTGCAGGAGACGCCTGGTACAGCGGGGCCCAGTTTGACAATCCATATATCTGCCTTTAGGGGCTCTTTAGCAGGAGGTAATAAAATTACATTGAAACAGCCCTGCAAGAAGACCTTCTAATGCATATATATTTAAATGAGGGGAATACGCATTCTTATAAAATGGTTTGTTTTACAGCAGAAGTTCGAATCTCTTTGTGCTGAGTGAGAGATTTCCAAAAAATGCATTTTTTGTTTGTTTGTTTCTGTTTCCCTTTCAACTCAGGTAATTCTATGTTTGTCATTTGTTGGACTTTTTGATAATCCGGGTGTAATGCTGTTGTAACATTCTGAATTGCATTGAATTCTTTTGGATAAAACTCTGGAAATATCTGAAGTCAGCTGTCGTGTGATTGCTCTTTCTCACTGCGCATATTGAGGCACAAGAATCCGGGATCAGAGGAATGAATTAACGAGCTAAATCAAGTTATTCCTCTTTTTAATTCTTAACAGTTGAAAATTGTGTCGGAAAAAATTTATTTATCCTCTTTTTGCAAAGGTTTCATCCTTTTCTTTACTTTTAGACCATAAAATGCAAATAAAATAGTGGTCAAATGAGAATGGGAACGTATTTCCTGTAGATGACGCGCATTAAAATGATAAGTTGTCTCTTTTTTCCCAAAAGGTCATGTAACATTCAAAGTGGGGGAGAGTACTAAAACGAACCCTTCTGACATTATGGACAGTTTTAGGGGGGGTTTGAAACATCATTTCCAATTTATCGCAACAACGGTAACTCAAAATTCTTATCATGCTAAGAAATTTATCACGATAAATGATAAAACGATACAAAAAAATATTTGCGCCACGAGCGACCGACGTGATTTCAAAAAACAGAAGCGTTTAACTCCAGTAAAGTGCGGCGTGGTTTCCCACCTGGACGTTACGGTTGAGGCTGATGGCGGGGTAATAAGCGCCTTCCAAGCTCTCGAAGGCAACCGGACCCTGCTGCTCATCGTTGATGAGGAAGATGAGGATCCCGCGTGTGAAGTCCAGCAACACTCCTATCGTCGATCCTTTAGCGACGCCGCCGTCCGTCCTGCGCCGTCACACGAAGGGAATCAGACTGCAATCGGGCGCCGCGACAACTTCTCCACACAAGCAGTCGCTTACCTGTTGGTGTGAGAGTTGTTGTGCATGAACCAGGAGCGGTTGTTGTCCACGTACATGGCCCAGGCCTTGTCGTCCTTCCCCAGCATCACGTCCTTCAGGACGTCGGCGCGGGAGATGCCGAAGGCCGGGTCGGGGTGGTTGTCGTAGCGGTCCACCGTCATTTCCCAGTAATGGACGCCGCGGGAGAAGGCGGCGCTGCCTAGGACCACCCGGTCGTCGTAGCTGTTGCACGACACCGTCAGGTTGTCGTTGGAGAAGACGATGTCGGGGTGAGCGGACGCCGGGTCAAAGGTGAACCAGGCAACTGCGCGGTACACAGGGAGAAGGCCTCACTGTCAACCACATCACTGAGCGCGAGAGGCGGCGCGATGACGGCGCTTTGACAAACGTGACATGAATCAGGAGGGTGGTGGTGCAAATGAGGAGAGGCTACACTGTAAAAACATCTCTATGAAAGATTATGGTGACATAAGGTTAATATAGTTAATATAGTTACACTATATCCGTGTAGCGACACGGATATAGTTGTTATAAACTATAAGGTATGATTACGTTCTTAAATCATATATCTGAATCTGAAAATCTTAACTGTTAAATACTAAAACAAACAAAACAAAGAACAGTATAGTTAGTAGCGTACAAAAAAATATATATTTATGACGTTACACATCTTTCGATGCGCATAAACTGCGTTTTTTTTTCCCCTTCACCAGATTACACATGGCCCATCTACAAGCAAATCCTTTGATTTAAATAAAATTGACGGGTAAAGTTAAGCAAACACAGGAACCACCAGTAATTATGGTCCCACCAATAGTACCCAATGTCCCCGCACTCCAAACTCAACAGCTAAGATTGTAAAAACTGCTTGATTCAAGCCTGAAAACGGCAACATCACATCTTCAGCGTCCATACAGAGAAACATGGGAGTCAAGCAGGCGGGCTTTTTGCTGTTTCTATGGGCTCCACCGGTCCTGGACGTCTCCAGCTCTCAGCTTCCCCACGCGTAGCATCGTTCCCTTACCCCGGTTTCATTTCTCCAAGGAAATAAGACACAGACATTTATTAGGGGCCCGTATTAAATGTTTAATATGTGGAGCCCACAGAGCAGCAAACTGCCCCCCTGCTGGTCGGAGTGTGACGACCTCACTGATGAAACGGGCAGCGGCCCGGAGAGGATCAGAGCGGAAGAAGTCGGCCGTGACAGCCGTCCATACCTGTGCCTATAGACTGAATATCGCATGGAGGGAGTCCAGCTGAAATGTGACGATGTGAAGGGGGAGAAAGAGTAGAAGAAGAAAAGAAGCGGGGGGGAGGTGGAGGAAGGAGGAGAGCCGAGCGAAGCAGCGGCGCAGACAGCGTGGAGGGGGTGTGGGGAGGGAGAGCGGAGAAGATACAAAAGCAGATTTGATCAGGGAAGCCGGTTCACCACCGACCAGAGGATTTCCTCTAAATCAACCAAAGAATCAGGAAAAGGAAAAACATTGGAGAACATACAATGAACATAAAGAGGATGCTGTTGGGTTTTTTTTTTCACATGGATGACGCGCTTCCTTAACTATGCAGAGCCGCATTTACCTAATGGCAAAGCGAGAACACGAGTGGATTACACACCAAGCGGATGATGTTGGACGTCACGGGTTTAAAGGCTTAAACATATTCCTGTGCGGTATTCAAATCAGACTGAAATCTTGCAGTGGACACGTCGAAGATCTAAATTGCTGCATTGCAATACATTAAAACAGCTGGAAATGACGCCAAATAACTGAACTTCGCTTAAAAAAATACAAAACTGCAAGATTTTAGTCTTTAAGCATCACTATTTCTTCTTTAGATTTTATGGAGTCAAGATACGATTGTAGCGACACGGAAAAATATCGTTTAGTCAACTCTAGTCGGGATAAACAGCTGATGCAATCACAGCCTTATTGCTAACACACACAAAGAAGTGCAAGAATCTACGACTGCAAGAATATTTTAGCTGCAACCAACTGAGGTTGTTTCTATATAATGACAAATGCAGAGATGCCAATGATTGTGCTCTCAAAAACAAAACAAAGCAGTGTGAGGTCTCATAAAGCTAAGACTGCTTATTACAATGTCATAGCTTTCAACAGTTAATTCAGTGAAGCGTACATTTATTTTGTTTTGCGACCTTTATCCAAAAATGTTATGGTTTCTGTTGGTTAAGGGTTAAGCCTCCTTCGTTTGTAAGGAATTTAATTTACAAAATTGTCTCTGTTTGGAGTAGAATAATCTCATCAAGCTACTCCAGGTATTTTACATTTTGATTAACGAGGCAGTTCCTGGCCGTCAAAACGGTGAAATGATCCTTTAAGTCATTACCAAGTAGGAATATGAAATAATGCATTTGAACATAATTAGAAAACAAATGTACGCTCATCTTTCTTAAAGTGAAATCTTTCTTTTTTCCCTGTTAATCCCTTCCACTGCCCCCTAACACAATGATGCCCTGAACAAACAACCATAACACTGTTAAATAAAATCCTGCTGCTCCTGACTCTGTAGAGCTACCGTCTAAATGCTCTGCAAACAACGCTGTAATTGCTTTGTTTGGATAAACGTCATATCGATTATAGCATTTAAAGATGAAAAGCCTCCTATAACTCCCATAGTCATGAAATTTGTTGCCTTTCTCCAGAACAAGTAAAACATAAAGGATTTTCTCCTTTAGCCCACAGCAGGCCTTTCACACACAATCAGGCTTAAATTTCCTTTGTGAGGCAAAGTGATGACTCATCGCACCGGTTCGTTTAAAAATGAAGGTATGAGTCTAATTGCGTAAGCTTTTACACATGTCCACCAGAAGGTGGACATGTGATCCTTTATATATATATATAACACGACTTCTTTTGTGAGCTTAACAGAGGCTTTCACACAGTTTTCACAGATTGTCAAGTAGCTCCACTCTCCCAAAAACAAGACCAGTTTGCTTCATAACCAGTAAGAGCCTGGGAGTTCGGCCCGCCAGAGGCCGGTCGGTGATGGATCTACTTTCTTGGCTCACAAAGTCAAACTTTGTGAGAGAGAGCAACTTCAATCCCAAACGCTGACGTCTGACAATCCGGAATCCTTTGACTAAATGGATCAGCCCTGCTTAAAGCCGGGCTTTAAGCACAACTCAATGATCAGTTGTGATTAATTGAGATTAATCGCACTTACAAATTTAATTGCTTGCTTACTAAAGGATGAGGCGTGTCCATTAACAAAACGATTATGCGCAACACATGTGCATTTGGATTTTAAACAAAATGTAAACATCGTATAATACATCTATCATCCATTGGATTAAAGGGGCAGCACTATGTGTTATCATTTTATGGCACAACCAAGTATTTGTGTTACCTTCACTTGTGACAAAAACATTTTATATATCAAATATGATTATGAAATTTGACTTTGTAATTTAACGCCTTGAAATTGGGCCTCTGTCTCTACCTGCTCTTCTCTGAAACTCCACCTTCAGGAAGTCATCACAACATGGCTCCTCTATTAACTCTTCAACAACATTTTTACCAGCGTTTCACTCAATAATAGCTCCTATAATGATCTCAGCAGATGCTCAGTCAAATCAGGTGTTTGCTAGTCTGTGGGAGCTGAGCGGGGGAGTCGCGGAGAGGCTGCTCTGCGAGGCCGAAGCTTGTTGGCTCGGAAACTTCAGAGGAGGAGGAGCTGCATCTTGAAGGCGGGGCTAGGTCCACCCAGGCGTTTTGCACAGCTGAATGGTTGCCACGGGAGATTAAAGGATTTCAAACATGCAGGAAAAAATCACAGCAACACTCCAGGTACGTTTTTGATGCGTGAATAACATAGCGTAAAGCTCAAAAAAGTCTGTTTAACATAATACCACCCCTTTAACTGAAATCGATTACATTAACTGCGATTAATCATCGAGGCTTTTCGATGGCACTAACTAGTGGAATAATCTCTGGGAAGTGCTGCGGCTTAACTTTTTGTAAATCCCAACCACTGAGGAGGAAGAGGAGGCGGCGATGCTAAACTTACTTTCAGAGGTCTGCATGATCAGCGTCTTGCTGTACTGGCCCACGCCGCTGGAATTGAACGCCTTCACTCTGGACTTGTACGTGCTGTTGAAGTGGAGCCCGTCCACCGTGCAGATGGTTTCTGTCCCCACGTACACCTCCTGCAAAACACACACACACACGCCAGCTTCCCGTCAGCCCAGCCAAATGCATCAAGTGCGTAATTATGACACCAAACGGAGGGGTCCCTGCTGGATTTGACAGTGGAGGCGGTAAGCAACGGCGTGAGCTTGTACAGTGTGGGCTCGCCTGTGTATATATAGACGCTGGGGGGACCAGGGGGACGGGGGGACGTGAGTGGCCACGTTCAGCGGGAGGCTGCGTTGGCTGGACTCGGTGAGTCAGAGAGTAGAGGACGAGGGGAGAAAACTTCCCTCGTTATTTAGTGCATAGTTTTCTGGCAAAATGGCGCTTCGTACGGCGTGGGAGTTAAAATGATGCAATGGAAACACGTGTGGAAATTATTTCCAATTTACAGAGGAGCTGCAAAATTGAATCTGAAGATATTATGCTGCGAAACACACACAAGCACCACGACTGTAGAAATATTTCCCAGTAGAAGCACTGCTTCTAACCGGTTATTAGTTCCTGGATACACTTGATGATTCAAGATTGGCTACTGCAGCAGCAGTCATTCATTTTTGTAGTGTATTTAAAGGGGCAGAATTTATGTGTCTTCAAGACACATAGTTCTGTTTTATAGCACAATCGAGTAACTGTTAGCTTCAAGTGTTAGAAAAATGTTGCATGTATCAAGTACGACTTAAAAGAAATTTGCCTTCATAACTTAACGCTTTGAAATTGGGACTTTGTTTCTTTAAGAATCTCCTGCTGTTTCTGAAACTCCGACCTTCCAGAAGTTGCCACAACATGGCTTCTCTATTAACAACGTTTTTACCAGCATTTTACTCAAAAGTAGCTCCTATAATGAGCTCAGCAGACGCAGAGTTCCACTAGGGGCTTGCTAATTGCTGCTGGCTAGTCTGAAGGAGCCGAAAGAGGGATCGGCAGGGAGGCTGCTCCATGATGCCAGAGCTCAGAGGCTTGGAAACCGAGCTGCGTCTCAGAGGCGGAGCTAGGTCCACCCAGGCGTTTTGCACAGCTGATTGGTTGCCATGGAGATAAGAACCAGGGCAACACTCCAGATGTGCTTTTGATGAGGGTAAAACTTTATAACACGATGTAAAGCTCAGACATTTTTGATTTTACATGCCCCTTTAAAATGACCCGTCTTTTCACATCTTTGTACAAGTCAACGCTTGTTTCCTCTACTGTGTAATGGTAGAGAAATATAACCTTTTTTTTTTTTTTTTAGCAAAGCCTGAAGAGCCAAATATCTTGAAGGCTGAGCGACACAAACATCTAAATGCACTTCAGAATATCCTTCTGTTTTCCTACCTTCTCTCACTCTGTGAGCCTGAGAAGGCTGCCTCAGGGCTTTTTTCTTCTTCTGCATTTAAGAAATAAAACGACACCCCCGTTCCTCCCTCACCCCAGAACACAGAACAATAGACCTCACTCGTTGAGCCTTCACAGCGCTCTAATGACAGATCGCTTAAATCCTAGGCTGGGGGCAAAATGTTAACAGATATGGATATCCACAGCTTTTGTACAGGAGGGAACAGTTCAGGTCGCTGTCCTGACAAAGCCGAGCAAAGATCCGGCGCGGTGCGAGGGAGCAGCGGGGGCGGGGGATCGAAGGGACGGATTGGTTACACAGTGAGTCTCTGTGTGGGTCCGGAGACCACTTTGATCCCAGATCGCACTTCATGCAGAATCGTCCCGGCTGGCGGCTGAGTTTCTGGCCTGCGTGGCGAAAATACACAACGTCTCGCCAAGTGCATCCGGTTCAGTTCGTAGTGCAGCCATCTTAGCACACTTGGAATAAGACAAAAACCAACTCAGGAGTAACTTTTCAATAAGATACATGTTGTATGTGAAATAATTTGCCAGTGGAACTTCTTTTTTTGAAAAAAAAAAAAAAAGAAAGAAGTATTTACTTAAAAACAAGCTCCCGTACAGCTCTGGAAAAGATAAATAAATAAAAGACCACTGCACTGAATCCCATTGAAAACCTGAAAAGTCAAATGAGAGAAACTGAAACATTTTACGTAGTCTCTTAATTTTTTCCACAGCTGTATATTGCTGAAAAATTACTTAGAAGATAGTTTTGTCTTATTAGATTTTTGCACTAGAAACTAAACCCCAAAAAAATAAATAAATAAAATAAAATACTGGGTAAGATATTGTTAATTTTTTTTGCAGCATGTTCTCCTGGCAGTAACTCTTTCACTGCCATAAAATGCTGTGCCTCCGGCTCGGGACGAAGGGTTTTTGAATCAGGTTAAATTTGGGCTCCAGGAGGATGAGACGTTGCTGTCACATCCTCCGCTCCTCGCCGCTCATCTTCCAAAAATCCGGCTTCCTTCTCATTTCTCTGTTCCCATCTTAAAAAAATAAAAATAAAAAAGACGAGCATCGGCGCCGCGTCGGACCCCTACCCTGAACGGCCCTCCGTTTCCGTCGTCCAGCTCCAGGATGTAGCCCTCGACGGCGATGGTGGAGAGCGGCGGCTGTTTCCATGACAACGTGGCGCTGTTGTTCTGGGTACAGCATTCTTCGAGCTGGAGGATGGGAGCAGCTGGGACTGAGGAAAACAAACAAAACCCAGGACAGATTACAGGCTGAGATACGAAAAGACATCCACCTCGCAGAGCCGCGCTCCAGATCTCAGCGCCGCGCCGCAAAGACCAACAGCTTCCATGAATAGCAGACTTTTTGAGAAGTTTCGACTAAATGGTGACGAAACGATCATAAACGTGCGACGTTCCTTGCTCCGTCCTGAATATGAAACCAGTTTCTGTGTGCGAGCTAAACAGGTCGCGCTCCACAACAAGCTTTCTTTAACTCCAGACTCAAGAGGCTGCTGCCACGGATAAAGGAGGACACCGGCAGGACCGAGCGGCAGCTCCCAGGAAGTGCGCACTAAATATCTGAGGGTTTACATTTTGATAACGTGGTTTGATGCAGAAGCCTTGGCTTTTGTTCGAGAAAGATTCGAGAATTGGAAAATCTTGTCGGAGCCGTCCCCCTGCTTTACCTTTCATCTGCACAAAGTCCAGCTGGTGGATGGTTTGCAGGAGGGGCCCGCTGTCCAGGGTGAGGTCAAAGTCACTGGTCATCCTCGGGGTCAGGGTTCCCTTCCCCCACTGGCTCTCGGTCATGTGGACCCTCCGGATCAAAGCGTCCGAGATCTGGAACCGGACACCGGTACATTACTGAATGAAACTAAATGAATCCCGCTCCCGGCCCTCAATCTTTACTTCGAAATTTCCCAGAAGTCCTTTCACCTGCAGGAAGCCACTGGGGTCGTTCTCCTTGATGACTTCCAGGCAGTACTCCATCAATCCTGTTGTCTGACGCAGCTTCACCGTGCAATGGGAGATCTGATCCCGAACCACCTGGACAGACGGGGAAGGAGGGAAAAGCGCATTTTACAAAACTACAAGGGATTAAAAAGAGCTAAATCACTGATGAATTACTGTAGGCTTTTCGTTCTAGTCGCCACAGCAAAGCTAATGTTTCTGAGAGCAATTTGTTGAGTGCTGGGAAATGAAATAAAAAAAAGAAGGTGAAATAGAAAAACATTTATTTACTCAAGGTAGAAAGAGGGAAAATAAAAGCAATATTTATAACGAGAAAAAAAAAAACGATCGATGGAAATAAAAAAAGATTAAAGGGAGCAAAGAGACAGTGAATGAATGAGCAGGATGATAAGCGGCCGGACTGATCGGGTGATCGATTAGGTCCTGGTTGGTAGGTTTTTTTTTTCTCGCCTCTTGGGACACACGTCGAGGGAGGAAGAGGAGGCTGACGGGTGCAGTTTCTGTCGCTGACGTCAGCGAGGAGAAAGTGTCATGTTGTTTTCACGCGCGCGCTGGAGACAGTCACGGCGAGTTACATCAGGAGCAGGAGGAGAAGGAAACACTCTGAAATGACGACTGACATCTGAAAGGAAAAGTGGCAGAAAGGAAGGGGAAGGCTTGGCTTCGGATTGGTCAACACTTGACCAGTTTGTCCCAGGTGGGAGATTCCCCTCGCGTCCTGCTCCCTCCTCCTCGCTCGCTGACAGCGCTGATGTCCAGCGTCTCTTTGCAACAGTGTGAAATAAATGCAAGCGCCGGACTGTGTGTTGCTAGGAAACTGCTGCTCTCCGAGCTGCTCCGAGGCTGAACGGAGAGGAAAATCCGCCCGGCGGACCGGCCAGCTTCCGTGAAGATGATTCACTGGCGACAGCAGCTGGACAGATTCACAGGGCGAAACCAAAACCCGCTCCTTTATCGGACCTCAAACCAGATTTTAGGCAAATTGAAATGGACCGGATCTTGATATCTGTCATCTGTGTCGTAGAGCTCTGCTACAAGTGGACAAAATCACTGAACTCAAGACTGACCTTCAAAATCCCTGATTAAAAAAATGACAACAGATGCTTTGGGAGTCCCGGACAGAAGGGATTTCTGCGAGTGGAAGAAACCGAAGGGCATCAGTTAGCACTTTTACAAAAGTTAAATTCGAGAAGAAAGAAAACTCGCGTGAGACAACAGAAGATGCAGCCGAAAGTTGCAGAAGATCGACAGCGCTTACATTTGCCAGTCTGAAATCTGTCTCAACGCAACGGCCACCCAAGAAGTCAGGAGTGACAGCAATGTTTCCAGCACCAATGTGAAAATAAATAGGTATTACTATGGATACCTATCAGATCGGCACCCTGTCTAAGGTTTTAAGAGTGTTGTGATTTCTAACACCTTTGTCTTTGTCACGAGAATACACTGCAGCTGTGAATGGAAGCAGCTAAAAGTCCTTCTCTTCGCACATTTCATCTATGTATTGTTGTTAATTTCACTTCAGCAACTTAGCTCTCAACCTGTTTCTTTAACATTAACATGCAACATTAACATGCTGCTTAGCTCCAGTCACTTCAAGCTAATGGGACATGTGATTGTTGCACAGGCAGCTGAAATAATTAGAACCTGTCACTCTTTTGTTAAAAGCTGACTTGCAAAATGATGTGTGTGCTTTTGTAAAACAATTATTTTATTTTTCTGTTATGCGAGCATTCAAAGTAGTTTGATTTTCTGACAATAAAATAAGGATTTCTAACCTTTTCACTGGGTGGAAAAACCTCCAGCCTCGGTTCGACGAATCGGATCGAAAAACTGCTCCAGTTACGTTTCACTGTGGCACAACTGATATCTGCGCCGTTGGTAACACAAAATGTGGAACCGGGCGAAAAAGTTCAGGATTGCGACTTCAAGTGAAAAAATGTTTTTGAAGCCGTTTTACCTTGTTGAGGAAAGAGAGAGAGAGAGTTACCGCTTACTGAAATGTTCAACTCAGCTATCATCAGCGTTCATCTGCCCACCAGATGACAGATGAGGAAGATTCATTTATTTGAATTGGGGCAAGAGGGCGGAGGATGAAGCAGTTATGCGGTGTGACCCCGGTGGGCAAGATTTGAAATCTCGACAACCATTTGGCGAATCCAACCATTCGCGTAAGTGGGCCACAACCTCGGCACGAAGTCTCCGAAATACAATTACTGCAATTTCCGTTGCCTGATTTCTGCATCTGTCATCATTTTGGGGGGCAAATCGGAGCCCGAACGCAATTCTCCATCAACTCTCTCCTCCCCGGTTTCTCCCACCAGCAGCTGCTAACTGCACACGAATCTCATGTGGGTTTCGTGTTCTTGTGATTCGGTAGCAGCTAAAATAATGAGCCATCTTTTCTCTCACTCTTTCTCACTCTCTCTCTCTTCATCTCTCCCAGCCTCCTTCTATTCATGCCCGCTTTAATTATTGGGCCACTGCGGCACATTTGGCCTCGCAAAACACACACACACACACACACACACACACACACACACACACACACACACACACACACACACACACACACACACACACACACACTGCGGCTGCGGCTCGACGGCATCGTCTTCACCCCTTCCCGAAGGACAGGGGCTGCACTGCATCGTCACGGCCACAACGTCCCGTTTGTTACAGTTTGACTTTCTTGGAAAAGCATGGAAACGATTACAGCGCAGAAAAAGAAACACATGCGAGGCAGAAGAAGATGGAAACGGAAAGCCAAAGAGGAAGCAGGGACTCCACTCTCCACCCATAAACGCAGCAGGTCTAAGAGGCAATGAAGGCTTGGAGAAAACAGGGATCGCACTACTCAGACCTTTAGGAACAAATTCTGATACGAGTGAAAATGTTTGTATTGAAGTTTCTTAATAAGTCAGGTGGATTTTATTTTTATTTTTTGAAAACGAACCCCAGAAGTCAAACTGTTTTGCCTTTTATTAAAATGACAGGGTGTTTGGACGGAGCTCTGGTCTTTGAGGATGCATCGCTATTCGCTCCAGCTTTTATTTGCATAAATACATATAAATAAATTTGGACACCTTTTCCTCTGGAAGCATGCATGACGCCTCATCTAAATGTGGGCAAACTGTGTCCGCCGACAACAGAGCCGTCATTGTTAGCATAGCTCCAGAATTAGACAGAAAGTCAAAGTGCAGACCTCAATCCAAATTGATCTTTTTGCAGAAACGACACACCCAAGATGGCTGACTGTGCAACAAGGATGAGGGAAACTTTTCAACTGTAGCAGCTCTGAAAAGACTACAAAACATAAAAAAAAAAGCCTTGCAAGTACAATACTTCACGTTGGTCTATCACGCAGGTGTCAAACTCAAGGCCCGCGGGACAAATCTGGGCCGCCGTAGCTTTCTAATGTGACCTTCTAGATCTAGACCAAACACTAGAACATTTTTGAAGAAATTTTAACGGGGCCCGCCAAACCCTTGGTCCTCGGCGCGGCCCTCACGGGTTCGAGTCCCAACTTGGTGGCCTTAGCCACATGTCTCTCTCTCACTGCCTGCTTTCCTGTCCTAGTATTTTAGAATGGGGGCCACTATCGTTAAAAGAGAGAAAAAAAACCTTTAAGAAAGAAACATTTTTAGTTATAGGCTAAAATTAGCCAAAATGCTAATTTTGGTCTAAATGCGGCCAGTTTTATGTGGCACGTTGTCTTACATTGACTTCTTCTGTTCAATGTGCTAAACAGGGCAAAGAAATAAACAAAATAGCTAAAAAGCTTATTTTAGGGAAAAGGCTACTGCACTAGGCTACTTTGCCATCATCGATAAATGAGGGGTGTCAATAAATCCTGATTTGTAGTTGCACAAACGTTTCAGTGGCTGCGTTTGATAAATAGATGTTTCCTGCGCTGGTTCAGTTTTGCATTTTCATTTCCAGGCAAATCCGGGCATGTGTGTGTGTGCGTGCGTGCGTGTGTGTGTGTGTGCCGCACGCCTCTCATCGTCTGCGGACAGATTTCAGGTGTCTGTCTGACTTTCCGACGCCGCTTAAGTGCAACTCAATGACTGGAGGAGTCTGCTGAGTGCTGCTGTTAAAGCCCGGCGACTGCGCATGCGTACAAAACGCCTGTTGGGGATTCCGCGCAACTGTCTCCATCCTGACTGACGTCTCCATTTAACGGGAGGAATCCCGGGAAGCACAGCGGCGCCGCTGAGTTGCATCAGCAAACCGGGTGGGAAACGCGGCGGGATCGCGTTAGCAGCGAGCGCGCGCACAGCAAGCTGACAGGTGCATGGAAACACGTCGCGGCCAGAAGGTGTGAAGTGTGTTCTCCGCCGACCTAAGAAAAAAAAAATCATCAGAAATTCATCCATCATGGCGACGCGTTATATTTTGAATGTGGACGGAGTCGTTCAAGCTGTAGCTCGGAAAAAGGCGGGAGCTTTTAAGCGTCTTCTTTCTCTTGGGTTTTGAATGCTTTTTGTGGCATAAACAGTAAAAAAAAAAAAGCTTTGTCACATTAGGTAAGTTGGAAAATATTTAAACGCAAAAAGGAAAAAAAAAGTTATATAAAAAAACACATGGATGAGTAAAGACCTGCTATTCCTGGTCTGTGAAACGGGTTATTTCAGTTTGACGAAGCTTGAGCTTTGTTGCAACAAAGATAGAGCACCAGAAGTCAGTCTTTAAGAGGGGAAACCGCCGGAAACATATTCTCAAATGTCAGCTGTAATTGCAACTAAACATGTGAATCAGGGGAGCTGAATGCCAACCAAAGCGTGGACCCAGTATATAAAATCCCAATAAAATACAACGCTACGATGGGTAAAAAGGAAGAAATGATGGCAGGCAGGTGGTGGGAAGGCGTGTTTGTGCAGCGTGTGGCTCCGCTCACAAGCCGCCGAGCGCAGGCTGCGTTCTTCACCCCACCTACACGTGTGAAGCTCTGATTCTGCACAGCGCTGTCTCTCTCCTTTTCTCTCCTCTCACTCACATCTCGTGTTCGATTTGGAGAGGATGAGTTTTAAAGGATAATGAAGCAATGAACGACAACTCAAACATTCAATGAATGAAATGCGTAACCTCAAAAAAGACCTCACAAAGATAAGGATTCTCTTAAGCAACTGAGCTCCAGATAAAAACATTTCATGTCAACAAGGACAGATTTGCTCCCCTCTGGGCGAGTTGCAGCTTCAGTTTATGTCAGCCCAATTCGATTTTCTCAGATGCTAGAGAGGCACCAGTCTCTGTTTTCCATTCCAATTTGAGACCTGATTTGCAGAGAGAGCGTCACCATTCTGCCTCGTTTGTGTTTGAACCAGAGCGCTGTGACGGGGGGAAGCAGATGGACGTCGTTTCGCCCTGTTTGGACGCACACGACGTCAAACGTCTTGTCACTTTCACCCACCTTAAGCTTGTGTTCATGCTCCTTGTTCACTTGGGCCAGCAGCTGGGCTTTGCGCCGGTTCAAGGCGTCGATCAGCGCATCGCACTGCGCCACCAAACAGGCCTCAAACTCCACGCCGTTTTCCTGAGGGGTGAAAAAACAAAAACAAAAAAAACCCCGCAGATATGAGCTTTCTCACAATCTGTGATGTTTTTTAAAAAAATTAATGAAAAACTTATTTAACTTGACTTTTACTTGGAGTTAAAAAAATGTTATCTTTTTTTTCTGTTCATCAAATTCTAAGAGATTTTAGTTTTTGTTGGTTCTCTGCTGTTACTTCTATGATCCGAATGGCTTTAATATTATTTTTCCTTTTGTCTTGGTTTTAGCACTGGACAGATTCCCCAATAAATTCAATACTCGTGATGTCTATTTTTCTGTATTATGGTTAAATGTTAAAAGTGTTTTTAGCATTTTAGCATTGAATGGTTTTATTTCGTTCTCTGGTTATTACCTTTTTTTTTTTTTTTTTTACGAATTCACTTTCTTCCTTGTCTTGTTCTACCTTTCCAATAATTCTGTTTTTTGTTTTTTTCACCTACCTCAGGAATTTTTGGTGCGATGGTCAAATATAACACTTTGTGTCACATTTCATTGACTGAAAAACGCTCTATGAATAATGTCAGATAAATCGATTGATCGATTAATACATCCCGTCCAGGGCCAGCTTTAAACATTTTAAATTAAATAAGTTTAATTAAATAAAGTTTTTATTGTTTTTTATTATTCTTTACGGAATGAATATCTTATGAATGTCTAAAAAAAAATTAAAAAATCCCAGAATTTTACAACCTTAATAACTCTCTTTAACATTCATGTTTTTTAATTAAAAAATAAAGACATAAAACTATCATATCATAATATAAATATAATAATTATCATTAACTAAACAGTCTGAATTACAATAATATTTTTAGACCTTGAAATATTTTGTTGTCCATTTTCACACGTCTTTATTATTTGCTCCTCCACACACACACACCCACTCTGGTGTATCTAAGTCTTTGGGATGAGTATCAATGGAGGCCTTTAATCCCACATTCCTCCTCTAATCAACCAGTCAGGCTGACCACCGCTTCGTCCAGCTTTGTCTTCACGTGAGCTTCCTAATCCAGCATACACTACAGCGTCATCAGCATAAACACAAATCCAGCAGAGACATTCAGGTTCTTTTTCCTCCTTTTTTTTAAATCGAGCAGCATGTCATAAGTTAAAGATTTTAACCTTGGTACGAAAACAGCAGCGCAAGATCAAGTAAACTTTTGGAGGCTGCAATAAAGGAAAAGCGTCTTTTGGTTTGGGTGGATGGGTGAGTACCTGGATGTGCTGCACCATGTTTCTCAGCTGAACCAGGAACTCTTTTGCTTCGGTGGCTCTGTCTGACAGACCGTTTAAGGCTTGGGACAGCTGACCCTGTGGAGGATAAACACATTAGAGCTACAAACACATGGGGACGCTTTCAGGAGCTTGGACTGAAATAGAACACACACACACACACACACACACACACACACACACACACACACACACACACACACACACACACACACACACACACACACACACAAAAGCCCATTGTCTCTGAAGTCCTGAGGACGTTTTTACTGTGATGAGTTCAACAACAAACCAGATATCAGTGAGACAAATTTTGTCATCTACAGTGACCTAAAATAACCAAGGTTATTGGTCAGCACTTTATTTGAAGGGGTGTGCATAAGTCTGTCATAAACGTGAAGGAGTCTATATGAACGTTTACGACATTCTTCGGTAAATAATGACACGTTCAACAGACTTCTAATGAAACGTTTAGAGCAACTTTGCATTGAAAGTGTCATTGTTGACCGACTGACACGTCGTGACAACAGTCGTAAGCGTTCGTGAAGACTCCTTCACGTTCATAACAGGTGTTACGTCATGTCAGTCTTACGCAGCTGTTTTTTGGCAGTAAAAGTCTCTTTATGTTCCAAGTCATAAAATTAAAAACTACTGCTTCCTCAAGCTGTACTGTTGAGATGCGACAGGCACCGAAAGCAAAAGATAGGATTAAAAACATCTCGAGAGAACTTTGCTTCGTTATTATTGGATTACAGCTGCTGGGCTCCTGTTGAGAGCTGAGCTCAGCACACATGACAGGAAATGCCACGGTTGTGGACGAGTGCAATGACACAGAAGGTCTTCTGTTTGGATAGCAGGAAAGAAGAGATGACTTGTTTGCATGTATGTAGAGCGAGGCCGTGTGAACATGGAGGTGAGAGAGAGCGAGCGAGGACGGGGCTCGACCCTCTGACCCTCTGGGAACCGCGTTGGGTTGAACTCGAACCGCCGTCCAGTCGGTGGGCGTGTTGTCTCCTGGCGGTGGGTTTCTTTGCGGCGTTTCCCGACGAAGAGAAAGAAAAACGGTCTCGGCTGCGGAAGAGCGCAATAAAAACCAGCTTCTGGCTGATCCGGTGGAAAACGCTGTGAAAACAATCCAACACACGCTCCTCGGTGACAGCCGGGGCCTCTGGAATCTGACGCTAGTCAACCAAATGGGAGACGGCCTGCTGGGGCTGACAGCTGACCTTTGAACTCCAGAGTTTGGGAAAGAAAGAAAAAAAAAAAAGGAAACGTGACAGCTGACGCCGACATGAGTCCACGCAACTGGGGAACGGTCTGAGCTGGCAACAGCTGAGCAAAGATCTGAACGAAAATATTTGAACTTTATTCAGGGCATTCTCTGTTAACCAGGGACTCATATTTTAGAGTCTCAAGAGATTGTCATTACTGGAAAAAGTATCTCTTCCCTCCCCCTGTGCAGTGATTTAACTATTAGATGTCACTGTGTACGGAAAAGTCTACAGAGACAAGTTTATGTCTAAAAAAGATGTCTCGGGTTATGTAAACCTAAACACCGACACCAGGATTCTTGTGCAAAATTAACGTTTTACGCCATGCAGAGCAACAATCTACATTTAGAGAGCTGCTGATTTAGGCTAGCTAATGACACTGTTCAAAGTGTTGCGTCTAGAGGTCATGAAAGGTCAGCCGGCAACTCCCCGCCTCCTTCCGAGTCAGACAAAATTGGCGTCAATCAACTCGAATACGTTTGTGCGTCAAAATGTTTTGTTTGTGCCGCTTTGGCTGTGAAGACATTAGACGTTCATTTCTATCTTCAAAGCCAAAGAATAAACAAACCAAACATTTTGCTGCACAAACTTAGTCAAATGAGGCTCCTGAGGGTTTTTTACAAATATAAAGATTTATAAATCTTTTTGCAACTTGACATTAAGTGAGAGAGAACTCTGAATCCCTCTGCAGTGAATCATGTTATGCACATTCAGCCACTCTGAGTGATCGTTTTATAGGATCATATTTAACGTCAGTCACTTCCACTCATTCTATGAAAAACAATTTCATCCCGATCAGAATGGATTGAAAGTATAGCTGTTTTTTTGTTTTGTTTTTTTTTAACCCCCAACAATGGTTTTCTTCTCGCCGCGTTTTCATAAAGTCCAGATCTGTTTGTGTTTATCCCTCGAAGTTTTCCCACATCGCGCTTCGGAAAACCGAGTCTCTTTCTTGCGTCGGCTTCACAGCTCTGTGCTCCCGATACGGCTCACTGAAACGCGGCTACGGCGCACGAAGGCATTCGTCGGCTAGACAAATCGGTAGGAAAACTCAAGAATGGAATTTTTTTAAAATTATTATTATTGTGGTATTTCTGTTTTGCCAGAAGTTGTTTTTTTTGTTTGTTTGTTTGTTTCAGCTCAAACTTGTGCACAGACTAGATAAACCGAGAGTAATGAGATTTATTCGGCCCGCTGGGAAGATTTCAAGTCCTTCCTCGTGCTGCGTTGTTATCAGCCTCCCGGCTCCAACTGGGCAGATTAATATTCAATCTGCGTTATGAGATGCTTCCCCTAAAAGAAAAAAAAATCCCAATATTTCTTCAGAGTACAGGCTAGACTTTTATTGTATTCGAACTGGAAAAAAAAAGCAAAGTCCTCTTCTCCTGACAAACTCCTGCCACCCCGGATCCATCTGCTGCTTCTCTCACTTCAAGATCTCGCCAGTCACACTCACTCTGTCCACGGCGTTCAGCTCAAACTCTGCTGGTTTTTTGGCACAGATCAGGCAGGTTCCCTCACTTCCTGCCCTTCCAAGCTGACCGAAAAAAAAAAAGAAAGAAGAAAGTAGCTTTCCTTTCTCCGTCCTGCTTTGCCCGGTCGACAGACGTTCGGCGACGGAGCAGACGAAAACGAGATGCGCTCGGTTGTCCGGAGGCGTTTTTCCGCGGCGTCTGTTCCCAAAGCCCGTGGAGCTCCGTCCCCGAAAAGCAGGTCACAGGAAAGTGGAGGCGCTTCTCCACCGTCGAGGCCGGCAGATGGGAGGACAGGGCCTCTGCGGCGAATGGGTTGGAGGGCAAGACGGAGCTGGGATCCTTGAACGTTTGGGATTTTGAAGCAAAAGGAGGAGCAGCTGAGCTTTTCTTCCTTTTTTAAAAAATAATTTTCTGCTTGTACCACCTGTTTTTGCAACATCCATCCAGCGCACCGCTTTAAGGGTGGGGCAGTGAAGAAGAAGCAGCTGATTTCCTTTTCGGACGTTTTTGGTGATTTAGGGTTTTTTTTGGTTGAGCTAATGTAATGAGTAGTTTGTAATGCACTGTAATTGTCCTGAGTAAAATGGTTGGGTTTTTTATTACTGATATTTTAGGAAAAGGCACCAAAACACTCTCTAGCCCCGGGCCCCCTATCCTTCTAAATCCGGCACTGCATAGCCTACATTAAATCCCAATAAAATCCACTGACATTTTGCTTTTGCTCATGATGCAAAGTGACTGTCACCGTTCCTGCGGGTGACTGATGAGAAACGTCAGTACAAAAACTAGCGTGCCTGAAAATCACACATTTGCTCATATGCATTTTCATCTGTTGCCGGGCTGATAGATTTCACTCCTGTGACGTCAATCACGCTCTCGGGATTTTTATGTCTGGCTGCCACCGGTCCCTGGAGGAGAAATTTTATTGTATTTATTTATTTATTTATTATTATTATTTTTTTTAAGCTTCAGCTGAACAATTTACCGCTTGCATTCATGCAAAGTGCCGCCGAACCAGGTGGCTTCAGGGTGAAAGAAGAAGAGAAAAAAAACAAACAAGTGTTTTTGGATGAATTTTGGGAGGGGTTCAGCTTAGAGGTATTTATGGGGGACCCAATCGCCTCTGCAATTAAGCCGAGTGGAAACGCGCACGTCGTGGCCATGAATAATTCACCGGCAGCTCCGGGGACCGTTTCGTACGTTTCCTATTAGTGACTCGGCGGTAGGAAAAGGTTTTAATGTTGAGGCAGGCGGGGCGGCGGAGGCCGTTTGGAATAATGTCTCCACAGGGGAAGGAAGGAGCGGAAGAGGTGGGAACACAGTCACCTAAAGTGGAAAAGAGAAGCGATAGCACACACACACCTCTTTTAGCTAATTGAAAAGACACATCTGGAGAGAGAGAGAGAAAAAAAAGTCTCATTACTTCCAGTGCGGAGATAGCTTTAGAGCTCTGTAACCTACTTTTAAAAACTGCACTGCTGTTTTTAAGGTTTCAGGGTCTTTTTTTTATTTATTTATTTGTTTTATCATTATTTCTTATATTTCTTAATCTTTAAACAATCAGTTTAGGCACAACAACAAAAAAAACACACATAAACCAAACGTCAGCCTCTGTTTGTATTTATATATATAAAAAAAAAATGCTAAACCAGCAAAGAGAGAATAAAGTTTGCATGTTGAAGCATGAAAGAATGTGGTTGTTTATGATGATTAAAGATGAAAAAAATAAAAAAAACATTAAAGCAGCCGTCCCGGTGATGTTCTCTCCCTGTCGGGACGTTTCCGTTGTCAAAACGTTTCCCGGAGTTTGGATTCTCCTCCTTGCTTAACAAGTCTTTCCCCACGAGCAAAGCCTAAAGCGGCCGGTGCATAATTCATTGACGAAATCTGCCGTCATCAATAATGCAGAAAGGAGATTTAACAATCCACACAGAAGTAACAATGACAGTATGGCGCGCATTCAGATGATGATGGCTTTTTTTTTTTTTTTAAAGCTTTTATGTAGCTCTGTGTTTTGAATGGCTTGTTGTTCAGAAATAACTGTGAGACATTTCTATGACACTAGTGCTAAATGTGACTTTTTTAATGTCCGTAATATGAGTCACCGACGTCACGTCGAGTTATAGAGGCAGCAGTTATTTAAATCTGATGTTTTTGACCAATTTTAAGAAGAAATTGCAGTAAAAATCTGAAGAAGAAAAAATGTGGGGACCTCTTGACCTTGTGTGGATTTTTAAAATAAAAGAATTAAATAATTGATGGAATCTGGAGTCTAAAGGGCCGCATAAAAAGCTACGTCGGGGCAGATTTGGTCCCCGGGGCCCCGGAGTTT